AGAATTGCCCATGACAGCCTCTGCCAACAGTGGCAGCCAGGATAGCACCTGTTCGGTGGCAATCTTCACACCTAATGAATCCAGGCTTGTTTTTAACAATTTGAACTACAGGCATACCTTTATTTTGTTTTTGTTTTTTCTTTTGATTGGGGTTTTTTGTTATTTATTGAGGTTTGTCATTGGTTTTTGTTTATTTATTTATTTTTGCTGTGGCTCAAACTCAGAGCCTTGGGCATAAAAAGAAAACACATTTCACTACTCAGTTGGTACCAACTGAATGTTATTTAAAATTCTATTTTGCTTACAAAAACTTTTTGTGCTTCAGCAAAACAATCTTTTTCTGTACATGGTTTTAATTCATTTTCCAAAACACACGTTAAACAATACAACAAACTGCAGGAACAAAGTTGGTAGGGAAGCCAGAGAAGCTAAGGCAGACTCTCTCCGCTGGGGAAAATGTGCCGGGGAGGATGCTGGGAAAAGCAAAGCTATGAAAAGCTACAAAAGATTATCCTTCAGTCTCCTTAGCCTCCCTTGGATTTTCCAACAGTTCCTCCTGCACCAAACCCACACACAAAGAGGGCAACCTGTGAGGGGTACATAGCCTCAGCCCTTGCCCAGTTTCTGCACAGGCAGCCGGTTGGCAGCCCTCACTGTGCGGGCCCTAAGGGCAGCCCATGATGGCTCCCCTAGGACTGCAGCTGTGCTCAGATTAGAGCCCTGGTATAGCTTTAGAATGTCCAGTATTTGAAGTTTGATCCATTTTCCTACAGAAAAACCATGTTCCCTAAAACAACCTCCTCTGACACCTGATGACCTATCGGTAGATGTCCGTGGGAAAACCATTTGCCTGAATGGCTTGTGGGGGTGATTGCACCCCAATCCAGCCAACACGTTCAGCTATGGGTAGCTTCGTGCTCTTCGGAGAACAAAACTAAGGGCTTGGCAGTGAGTTGATGTAGCAAACACTCAAAATAACACATCTTCACAGAGAGAAATTGTCCTCTGACCATTTCATAACAAGACTCTATCTAACTACACTTTTGCAGCTTTGCTGGTTAACTGACCCCAGCTCTTCTCCCAGAGTCAAATGGTAAAGAAACACTAGAAATGCAAACATCGAGAGATCGAAGGGATTTACTAGGGGAACACCACAATGGGTTTTATGGGAGGTGTATATCCCCCGTTAGGAACTCTAAGCACCTTAGTCTCTTTAGGCCAAGCATAACCAGTACGGTGAGGCTCTCCTGTCAATTTGCACATCAATGAGCATGAGCCAGACACCCCAAAGGGACTAGGAAGAATCCGTGAGTTCCGGTGATATTCAATTTAGCTTTCTGAGGAACCACGGCAATAACTTTCCCAAGGAGGAAGGGTTGCTTTGAAATGAAGACAGAGATAATGAGTCTTTAGGGACAGGGACCCACAAGGCCACACACATTTCCCCAAGATCCCACTCTACGGTGGCCACAGAAAGCCCAGCCCAGCTTGGCCAGGAGGCCTTGACAGCTGGGCTGGAGCGCCCCCTTCTGGCCACTGCCTTGGGGTACACCAAGCTCTGAGGCCACTGAATCCCTTGAAAGAGACTAAAATGTCACCACTTAACTCTATCATAGTCATCATTACATTGGCATTAACCTCTTTACAATGTTACTTGGCATTTCACACTTACACAACCTTCCATTTCTAATGTTAATAATATTGTTTAGGTTCTTCAAAGAAAACAGGGGAAAAAAAAGAGGCAGCTATCAACCCACCAGCAAAGACATCACTTAATATGTCTCGTTTTTACATAGTTGAGATCATGCTCTGCACTTGTCATTTTCCATCTACTTCCGGTTTCATTTCCCTACCCTGGTCCCCATTCCCACTAGATTGGGCCAAGGAAGGCACTGGCAAGTTGAAAGAGTGGAAGGGAGACTTGCTCACTCCCTCTGCCTGAAGGAGGAATTTTCCAGTAGCCTGACTCTTGCTCCCATCCAGTGAGACAGCTTCTTGCATCCCTGATGGTGCTTAGCTCTGGGTCTCTTCAGCTTAATGATGGGTTCTCAATGATGGGTGGCCTTGTCACCTAGGAAGCAGGTCCCACAGTGACATTGTTTGAAATGCTCCAAGTGGTTTATTTACCTGATCACATCAAGACCAAACTACATGTTCTCCCAAATTTATCCCATATGGGTCATCAAATATAGCTCTTTACAGATTCTTTTGTTGTTGTTTTGATTGAGACAAAGTCTTACATCGCCCAGATTGATCAAGGATGACCTTCAACTTCTGATCCTCCTGCCCCCACCTTCTGAGTGCTGGAATTACAGGCATACAGTGCTGGAGGTCAAATCTAGGGGCACTTTAGGTAGAAACCCTACCAACTGAGCTACATCCCCAGTGAACAAATTCCATCTTTAAAACTGACTAATATAACATCATGTCTTGATTCATATCATCTAGATCCCCATATTTGCTAAAACATAACACTGGTATGAATGTCTTCATACCTTAGTTTCTATCCACCTTCAATGCAATGTATTAGCACAGGCTGTTACAAGTAACTAAAAGGAGTGGGATATTTTCTGTTCTTTGACACTTATTGCCAAAAATCTCCAGCAAGAAAGGCTAGAAGAGCTTGTAACCCCAGCGAGCTGGGGAAGGTCCTCTTGACATGCCCTCCACAGCTCAGATTAGATTATTGATGTTGAGATAGTAAGGGCACCCTATGTTGCTGCTGCTGCTGCTGCTGCTGCTGCTGCTGCTGCTGCTGCTGCTACTGCTATTTAATTTAGGTGTTTTGTCTTCATTGTTAGCGAGGCAGAACATTTTTCAGGTGTTTCCTCTTTGATAAACTATCCTGCCTCTTACTATTGAGTTCTCACTAGCTCTCTTAGAGATTAAGGTATCAAATTCTTAGGTACCTAGACACTGGCTGTGGTGGCATTAAGTAAAGAGGAGTTGTTAAAAGGATAGCCCAGAATTCTAAGTGCCAGAAAAGTGGGTTAAAAAATTAGGAAGAATAAATAGAGCCTGGAAAATGACAACAGCCGGGCTCCCGCCCTAAAACAGTCTTTAAAAGATGGTACGGTTGACTGTGCTGTCCTGGATGGGGTAATTCTCATCCCTGCCCCTTCCATCAGTCAAATGCACAGTAAAGCATCCTTATGCCTTTGTCATTTCCTGTGACAACATGGAAATTGCATTAATGCCTTCTCTCGTGGGCAAATTGAGTCTATTTCTCCAGCTCCTTTACTGTGAGATGTACAATAAGTAGGTGTACACTGTATACTTTCTGAGAAAGGCCGTGACTTCCATAAGAGCTTTCCTGCTATGGATTGGATGAGTGTCCCTCAAAGGTCAATGTGTTAGATTTGGTCATTAGCCTGTAGTACTGTTGAAGGGTGGGAAGCACTTTGGGAACTGAAGCCTAGTGGGGCATGCTCTTGGAAGGATACTGGGACATGAGCCCTCTCCTCTCTCTACTTTCGGTCTTGTGTTCCTTCCAGGACATACTCTTTTGGCACAGGCCCCAAAACAACCAGGCCCAAATGACCAAGAACTGAATCCTCTGAACCCTCCCAACAGAACAAAGCTTTTCTTCTCTGTTGACTATCTGAGGGGATTTGTCACCATGGTAGAAAGCTGACATAAATCCTTGGAGTCCATCCACTCCATGTTGTGAGGAGGCCCAACAAGGCCCTTGGAGAGCAGGGAGTCCAGATGACCCCCAGAGCTCAGTATTAGTTCAAGTTGCTCCAGGGTTGAAACCACACATGCCACCGTTCCGTTTGCAGGACTGTGAGCAAACCGCAGTTGGCAATGCTCTCAGCTACTGCATTTGCGGTGCTCTTCAGCATTGAGGTAGAGCTGAGATATCCCTTAGGATTCAAGCCCTGAGCAGGAGCAGCTAAGCAGCCAAGCCTCGGCCTAAGACTGATACTACCAGCAAGCAGGGAGGATGGGTATATCAGTTGCAGCAGAGAGAGGAGACCTTATCCTTCCAAGAGGGAGCTCCCACAGCATGGAAACCCCTAAATAGAAGGTGGGGTTCCAACACTAAAATGACAAAACAATCCAAAGTTTCTGTCCTAGTGACGCTGTGTGACATCTCTAGAGGAAAGACCCATACATAAGAAGGGTCCCTAGAAGTAGGGCACCTTTCTCAGTCCAGCATTTTGTGTAAATGTACATTTCCTTATCTATTCTTCGGTCGAGAAGCATTAAGGTTGTTTCCAGGTTCTGATTATGACAAACAATGCTGCTATGAACATAGTTGAGCACATGTACTTGTGATATGATTGAGCATCCTTTGGGTATATAAACAAAAGTGGTATTGCTGGGTCTTGAGGAAGGTTGTTTTTTAATTTTCTGAGAAATCACCACACTGACATCCAAAGGAGCTATACCAGCTTGCACTCCCACCAGCAATACAGGTGTGTTCCCTTTACCCCACAACCTCTCCAGCATAAGTTGTCATCAGTGTTTTTGATCTTGGCCATTCTTATAGGTGTAAGATTTGGAATCTCAGAGTTGTTTTTGATTTGCATTTCTCTGATAACTAAAATGTTGAACATTTCCTTAAGTATCTTTCAGTCATTTTAGATTCCTCTGTGGAGAGTTCTCTGTTTAAGTCTATACTCCATTTTTATTGCATTATTTGTTCTTTTGATGACAAATTTCTTGAGTTCTTTGTATATTTTGGTGATCAGTCCTCTGTCTGATGTGGGGTTGGTGAAGATCTTTGCCCATTCTGTAGGCTGCCATTTTGTCTAGTTGTCCGTGTCCTTTGCTTTACAGCAGCTTTTCCATTTCAGGAGATCCCACTTATTGTTTCTCTCAGTGTCTGTGCTACTGGGGTTATATTTAGGAAGTGGTCTCCTGTACCAATGCATTCAAGTCTACTTCACACTTTCTGTTCTATAAGGTTCAGTATGGCTGGCTTTACATTGAGGTCTTTGATCCATTGTGCTTGAGTTTTGTGCATGACGATAGATATGGATCTATTTTCATTCTTCTACATGTTGATACCCAGTTATGCCAGCACCATATGTTAAATATGCTTTCTTCTTTCTATATTATATATTTTTGCTTCTTTGTGAAAAATAAGGTATTCGTAGGTGTTTAGACTGGGTCTTTGATGTGGTTTAATTGGTCCTCCTGTCTGTTCTTATGCCAATACCAGGCTGTTTTCAGTACTGCTGCTCTGTAGTAGAGCTTGAAGTCAGGGATTGTGATGCCTCCAGAAGTGATGAAGTCTTTCCTAACCTAGACACTATAGCAATGCAACGTTTTCATTTGGATTTGGCAGATCTTTGGGACTAATTCTGTGGGCATACCTTAGCCCTGGATGATGACATCAGCATCCTTTTTGTTAGTTTCCATGCCAGATGCAAAGCTGCTGTTAAAGTGTAAACCTGCCCGCAAGTTTTCTGTACATGTTAAAGAACTCGATTGTTCAGTTTTCATGACGATTGTATAAAGACATCGGATAGAGATGGCTGTCTCTCCCAGACCAAGTCAATGACCTTTCAATGTACTTGGGTTCCACATCACAGGTAATTTGTTCCCACAACCCTTTGACCCTTTTCAGGTACTTTGTGTGTGTATGTGTGTGTTTGCAGTTTTTCCCCTTTACATTCCATTGCTTTGGCAGCTGTAATTTCAATTAGGCCTGAAAGGTGTCCAGAATAAAATATATTTTGATATTAAGAAAGCAAAAAATATGCTAACAGAAATATGCAAGAGGTTATTACATCTCTAGAAAATGTCCAAAGGAGGCAAGTCTGCAGATAGGTGAATTCAAGCTTTCTAGGGCTTGGATGCTGGGCAAATAACTGAGGGAAATAGGGAGAAACCGCTAATAGGCACAGGGTCTCTTTGGAGTAATAAAAATACTCCATTACTAGCTAAGGTGATAGTTAACAAACTTTGTGACTATATTTTTAACTTATTAAATTGTATAGCTTAAATAGGTGAATTATACTGTATTTAATTTTTATCACTAAAGATATAGTTCTGTTTTTTCCAAAAACAGAGATTCAGGGCTCAGTGATAAACTGCTTACCCAGTATGCACAAGTCTCTGGATGTAATCCCCAGTACTTGCCCCAAAAAAATTATATAAAGACTCAGCTAGTAGGCTTTCCTTGACTTCTCCAAGCAGCATACACACACACACACACACACACACACACACACACACACACACACAGCTGAAGAGCAGGCTCAGTAGTTAAGAGCACATTCTACTCTTTCAGAGGACCTGAGTTTGGTTCGCAGCACGTACATCCCAGTAGCTCACAGCTTCTGCAAAGCCAGACCAGGGGATCTAACACCCTCTTTTGGTTCCTCGGGTATCAGAATACACATGCACATACCCACTAACAAACACACACACACATCAATAAATAATATTTTCAGGTAGTGATAGCACATGCCTCTAATCCCAACACTTAAGAGGCAGAAGCAGGTGGATCTCTGAGTTCAAGGCCAGCCTGGTCTTTAGAGCTAGTTCCAGAACAGCCAAGACTATACAGGAAAACCCTGTCTGAATTAATTAATTAATTAATTTGGGCAGAGAGCAGAGGACTACCATGTACAACTCAGCTCCAAGTTTCCCCTGCCACTGTCCAACCTTGTACATTGCCATGCTCTTAATCCCCAGCCCCAGCCATTCAGGATTAAATGGTTTAATAACTGACACTCACTCAGAACTCTGTGTGTCATTAGCTGTCATAACAAAAGGGGTTTCAACCTGAACTTATTTAATTCATCCACCTGTATAACACACCATCCAGGAAACAATGGAGTCACCTCTGAAAGGAAGACCTGTCCTTCCTTCCCTGGGCTGTGCCTCCACCCACGTCCAGCTAATCATTGTTTTGTCTCTCAAAGCGTGACTGCACGGCTACCTGCTGAGACCCACTTGTGACCAATTCATTGCTAAGCTATACTGGAGTGTTTTGCAATTCTGTGATTCAACCCAGTTACTAAAAGACACAGTGACACTGGACCTGTCCAAACATCATCTGATTGCTGGGTGAGTGAAGGCTGATGCAATCCTAAACCTCGCTACATCAGCTGCTACGTGTGACAGGAAGCAAGCAGCCAGGCATCTCAGGGCACAAGAAATTGTTGTGGTCCCGTTGAAGTCTGGAGACTGAAGTCATAAGAGAGGGTTTCTGAGAACCCAAGTCATCCACACCAGTGCTCAGTTCATGACAAGCACATGATACCAGTTAATCACAGGCATGAAGAATTGCTAACCCAAGGTTCAGGCCCTCTGGATCTCAAGGAAGAGGAAGGCTGTCTGAACTAGCACAACTGGTCAGACCCAGGGAGCAGGACACTCACTCCTAAGCCCTGGAGCCCTTTCGGTGAGCATAAACAATTCCAGTGGTCATTAGGTAAGGTCACTCACTCTTCAATCGTAACAAGAAAAGCAAGAGCCCTCCACAATCATATCTGAACACAGGTAAAACAGGACCACGACCAAAGTCACAGAAAGAACCAGACAGCCCTGATCCTCGTTAATTGTGGCTGCTTTCCTACAAGGCCCACAACTCTAACCTCTCTCTATTCTTTTTCCCATGTAGGAAAGAATGTTGAGATCCCTGCCCAAAGCATCACTCCTGCTTTCTACCAGCACGTGATCTGGGGCAAAGCGTCTATCTTCACTAACTGTGACCAAGCACAAGCATAGACCCTCTGAGACTTAAGACCAAGACATCCCAAAAGCTACCCACAGCAAGCTACCCTTCATGCAATGAGTCAATTGATGTGGGATTCCCCTCTGTATTCTGTGAATACCACTGGTTAATAAAGAAAACTGCTTTGGTCTATAACAAGGCAGAACAGAACAAGAATAAAACTAAACTGAATTCTGGGAGAAAGAAGGCAGAGTCAGGGAGATGCCATGGAGCCGCCAGAAGAGAAAGACGCAAGCCACTGGCCAGAACCTTGCCAGTAGGCCACAAGTCCTATGGTAAAATATAAATGAACAGAAATGGGTTAATTTAAGAGGTAAGAGTGAGCTAGAAATATGCATAAGCTAATAGGCCAAGCAGTGTTGTAATTAATACAGCTTCTATGTGATTATTTGGTTCTGGGCAGCCAGGAATGAACAAGCAGCCTTCTCACAACAATGACCTGACTACGGCTAAAAGAAACTCACAATCCTGGGGCTGGAGAGATGGCTCAGTGGTTAAGAGCATTGCCTGCTCTTCCAAAGGTCCTGAGTTCAATTCCTGTCAACCACACGGTGGCTCACAACCACCTGTAATGAGGTCTGGTGCCCTCTTCTGGCCTGCAGACATACACACAGACAGAATATTGTACACATAATAAATAAATATATACATAATAAATAAAAAAAGAAACTCACAATCCCCTTTCCCGAGTTGTGCCTACAGAGGCCAATGCCCCATTTCATACAGAGAACTCAGAAGAGAGGAACACAGAGAAGATGGGGAGAAAACAGTAGTTGTTAAGTGTTACTTCTGTGACAGACTAGACAAGTGGCACTCTTCAACGAGGTTACACACAATGTTCTATTCCCTGTCTTCCAAATAAAGTTCAGCAATACAGAAATAAACAGTATTAGTCATGTGCCACACAAGCACACACATGTGCACACACCATTCACTAACTTCAGGCCCGAACAACTCATTACAACTGATAGGTACAACCAACGGTCGTAACTTAGGCAGAAACCTACAACTACCCAGAAGTACAATACAGCCAGCAGCCAGAGAAGTCTGCTCAGCTTTCCAGGCTGTGACCTGAACCAGGTACTTACACTGAGCTTTCTCACCCTGAAAATTTAGAAACACTAAAGGATGGCAGGTCAAAGTTCCAGAACAGTGCCTGGCACACAGGACAAGTTCCCGGAGAAAATCCCCACTTTCCTTCGAGTTCTAGTTGAAGCCAAAACTGTCAATTCTACCCAAGTCACCATGATTTTCCTTTCATACCTCCCTGCCTTGATTACAAACCTTTCCCAGAAGCCAAACTCAAGGTCTGATGACTCCAGGATTCGAGTATGCACTACTCTTCAATTGGAGAGGACCAAAGTTCTGTTCCCAACACCACGTCGGCAGCTCACAGCTACCTATAACTCCAGGTCAGTTTCCAAAACCTTCTCACCTCTGTGGGAACCTACATTCATGTGTACATACTCACACATCAAAACACTCACACAAACACCAATATAACCTTTATTTTGTTTTTTTGACAGGGTCTATGTAGCTCGAGCTGTCCTAGAACTCACTATATAGACCAGAGTGGTCTCAAACTCAAAAGATTTTTTTGTTTGTTTTACTGTAGCTTTGGAGCCTATCCTGGAACTAGCTCTTGTAGACCAGGCTGGTCTCGAACTCACAAGAGATCCACCCACCTCTGCCTCCCTCCCGAGTGCTGGAATTAAAGGCATGCACCACCACCACCTGACAAAACATATGTATTTCTTATTCCAAACTTCAACTTGCCCTACATGCCCAAGACAGAGCACACAGTATCAACAGATGCTGGCTTAGCTTCTTTAGTAAACCACTTGCAAAATCATATTTAATAATTTAGTGGAAATGTTTTCATTTTAATTGGATCTTTTATCAAAATTTACCTCTAAATTGCCCTATTATGCATACCAGCTGTTCTGTTTTTCTCTAAGAGAAGAAAAACCTCACAATAACATTCAAAAGCCCATATCTGGTCACATGTGCCAAAGCCTGTGAAGCCAACAGGAAATTTACATGTGATACGGGGCACACAGGTGTTTCTGAAACCCGATTAATCTTGTTTATCTTTATCCATGAGTTAAGTCCACACTACACAAACTGGTTTGTTTTGAAAACTTACTCTACCAACTTCTCAGCTCAACCTGCACAAAGGTTACTGACAAACCAATGAAAACAAATGCACTCCTAGGGCCGACAGCACGTTGGCAACTATCTTCAGACAGTACGTTCAGAGTGAAAAATGAACTTCAGCAAGAAGGAAATGCCTTTGTTTATGGAGACATGGTCTCCCTGTGTAGCCCTAGCTATCCTGGAACTCACTCTGTAGACAAGGCTAGATCCACCTGCTCTGCCGGGATTAAAGGTTTGTGCACACTGGGATGGAAAATGTCCATTTAAGGGTCAGTCCTGATTAACTTTTATTCTGAGACTTGATTCAGCAGGAATTTGGATGTCAACACATATATCAGAGTTCAAACTTCAAAACAGAGGAAGACTGAGGCAATGACTGCTAAATAGCATGGAGAGCTAGCATGAGGGGAACCAAGGCTCACTGCACAGCGATGTTTAACAGAATGGACCTAGGCCACTGGGTTGATCACGGCCTACCTTTCTCTAAAGTTTTTTCTAAGCGGTCTGCTACTTACTAGGCAGTTTATCTGAACACTAGACTAAGGGAAACAAAAAATTCCAGTCTCCTTTATTCTTTGACTAAAGGTTGAATACAGCAGTTGAGAATGAGCAGACGTGTGCTCAACTATGCTGCCCTCACTCGGACAGAGAAAATTAACACTGTGCAGCAAAGGTCTCCACCCCTTACAGGTCCTTGTCAAGGAGAGGATAATCTGTCAGAAACAATGGAAGCATTTACCTGGCCTGTCTCAGATCCCTGAGTGGCTCCCACTCTTATCTGACATAAACTAGGTGAGCAGAATTGATTCCCATTTCAGGGAAAAATCTGTAGTAAAGACAAAGGGTCAAAATGGCACAACAATGTTTATTTCAGTCTTCCAACAGCACAAAGAAGTGATGGCTTCTGATGCCAAATCATACACGTGTTATTAGAGAACAAAACATTAACATAAAGAAAATCATTCAACAACAAAAAGTTAAGTGCTTCACATGTCACGCCGTGCTGTGCACTGCCAGCAGGCGAAAGCTTCCCACCACATGCTTCCAACAGCAGGACCCAGGCAGAGCCAGCGTCCCAGAAGGTGCATTCTCACCTGGGAGTGTACCCCAAGTCACTACAAAGCCCACTGTTTCACTCAGATTTCTGTAACCTGATCTTAAAATATAGCTAGGATTTGGGAGTGGTACAATAAAAACAATCTCAAAACAGAACAAGGTATGGCAAGAAAGTAAACAAGGTTTCCATAAGGCATCAGGAGATGCTGCTGGCTGGCTTAAGGAAATGCCAGGTTGTTTTTTCTCAGCAAAGCCAAAACCTCAGAAGCTTAACCAACAGGTCAAGTCAAAGCATTCAGAGACAGTCCTGATCTCCTGTTTTTATTTACACATTTTTTTTGTTTTGGTAAATGTTTCATATAAAACATAAAATCAAGTTCTATTTTTATAAAAAAACTGAATATTTTAATAGTAAAAATATATATTTAAATTTCTTTTTAAAAAGACATATAGCAATACTTCATAAGACTGGATTTGATCACCGCCCCCTACCCACCCACGGGCCAGCTGTCCACTCTGGCACTGGGGACAGCTACATTAAGGTACATTAAGGCAAAGGCTCCTGGAGAGGCAGGTCCACAGTGCCTGGGCTGGAGATTCAAGGTGAGCACTCTGCTCCTCACAGGGTCAGAAGGGCTTCTCCCTCACATTCACTGAGCCATCCTGCATCCCAAAGTAGACTCTCTCTGCCATGTTGATGAACAGGCCGGTGTCCACCACACCTGCAGAATGAAGAATAGGGGCATTAAGGTCCAGGTTCTCAAGATAAGACGAGCATACAGGGTCCCTAGGAGTAAACATCATAAACAGCACTAGACAAAAAAAAACTAAAACCTGCTCTCTCACACACAGCAACTGAAAGAAACTAGGGTTATCTTTGTTCCTTCCCGGCACCTCTTCCTTCTATTACACCATGGCTTGCTCTGTGCACCCAAATGTGCCGGCTTCATCCCACCTTGGAGCCTCTGCTCATGCTGCTCCCTTGCCTGACTGGTCATCCTTAACAGAGGCAAGGTTGGCTGCTCCTCTTCAATCTCCCATGTGGCTTCTACAGAGACCCTCCAAGACGATGCTATGTAGACCCCACTCCTCCCAGGCATTCAACCACACTACCAGTCCTGAAGTCTTCCTCAGTGTAGGAGATAGTCACAAAGCACACACCTGACAAATGAGTCCTATCAGAATACAATCCCTCAAGTTACTAAGTAAAAGACAACCCAAAAGAAAAGACTTAAGCAAGTACTTCTTAAAAGAGAGAGGGGGGAGGAAGCAGTCCCCAATAGCCAGTGTTTATTTAAAAAGGCATTCAAGCTCACTAGTGACAGGGCATGAAAGACTACTCAATCACATGACAGGGGGCCAGAATGTGAAAACACAGACAGCACTGCTGAGAATTGCTGGCCATCGTCCAGCTCTAGGTTTAGTGAGAAACCTGACTCAAAGGAAGACAGGACACACAACATCATCCTCTGGCTTCTGCACACAAGCATATATGTGGGTGTACATGCATGTGCTTGTGGGTGTACATGCATGTGCTCGTGCATGCACGCACACACATACACACACAACACACACACACATGCACAGAGTGGCATGAATATATCAACATGTGCATTTGCACATGCACACTGACAGAGGAATAGTACTCAGCAATGAGAATTAACTAACTATATATGGCCTTCATCAAAAATGTTTATAAACACACATATCCTATAGTGAGATAACACTGGCCAACTATCAAAGGAAAGAGTAATGAACCTAGTGTAGGGAAACAGGGACCTGCACTGGTTCCCTGTACAGTAAACTGGTACTCTTAATGCCATTTTGTAAAATGAGACTAATCCTTTGCTCTGGATTCCATGCTAGCACAAGGCTGGAAATGCAAATGACCGCTAGCAGGGATCTAGTTAAGTAAACCATGCTACATGGCCACAAAATTGGAATATCACCTGTTTTGTGAGTTAATATGTAAGAAGCTGAGATGAGAGAGGGCAGAACACAATTGAGCGGGATAGGTCATTTCTTGGGTTAAAGGGGGATGCAGGGAAGTCTCTACTTGTTTTGTGGACAATCATCGCGGAATGGACCATACAGTTCTTTCAGTA